CAAACAGCAACAACCGAAAAGAGAAACTAATTCAAGCAGATGGCGGAGCACTTGTGTTCGCATTTTGCAAATGCAATTAATAAAATCGAATTAAATGAGCGCAAAATGGCGGACAATAAATGCAAATTAAATTCCAATTTCATTTTTAAGCACAAATTAAAAACTAAAAAATAAGCGATAAAAAAAATACAAAATTGAAATTAAATTAAAATTAGGCATAAAATAAATGGGGAAGGGGAGGGGCAGTAAGAGAGAGAGAGAGAGAGAGAGACCAGAGTGCGTGTAATTATGCCAATTTACACTGAGAGAAAATTCAGGGTAATTGTTTAAATACATATGCAGGGCTGGTATGATGTCAGATAACAGACACACACACACACACTGAGCCACACCTATATATATATACACACACACGCACACACAGACACACATTTGCATTAGAAGCACATTTGTGCGTATCTAAAATGTTCGATTCAAAGATATAAACAGCAAGAGCGAGCGAGCAAGAGGGTATATGACAGAGATAGAAAGTCAGAGAGAGAGAGAGAGAGAGAGAGAGATTATATATACATACATCTATAAATCTATATAGATTCGTATAGACGACATAGCTATAGAATATATAGAAGCTACAGCTAAAGCTAGACATTGATAGGCAAATATGGTATGAAATGAGTGGGAAAAGCAACGCAACGCAACGTAACGGAATGGAACACAAGAATACAATACGAACGCAAACAGAATGGAATGAAACGCAACTCAAACGAAACGGTAAAGAAACAGTGAACAACAAACTACTTAAGTGTGTTCGAAACAAACAAAAGAGAGAGAGAGAAAGACAGATATATAACTATTTATATAGAGAGAGAGATAGATAGATAGAGATAGAGAGAGAGAGAGAGTAACTAATTATACAAGTACAAGTAGCTATATATACAATATACATATATATACACATATCGATAGAAAGAGATAGAGAGAGAGAGAGACACAGTGATATTTAGATAAAAAGTTAGTTAGAGCGTGAATTAGACTACATACTACGACACTCATAGCGAGCGATACCTGTTCCGGTGCCAGCTACGTTTGCGTTGCGTCCATTGTAGCGATAATTGTTATTGATGGCATTCGTTTTGTATGCAGCGCCGCCGCCGCCGACGCCGACGCCAACGCCGCCGCCACTGCCGCCATCGCTTAATCCCAAGCCGCTCATGTTCATGTTCATGTTCATGCCTACGCCCACGCCCATGCTCATATTCATACCCATGCCCATGCCCATGCCCATGCCCATGCCCATGTTGCCGCCAGCGGCAGCAGCAGTAGCAGCAGCAGCTGTTGCTGCTCCGCCATTGCGCAAATTGTTGCGCAAGTTGTTGCTGTTGTTGCTGCTGTTGCTGTTGTTGCTGATGTAGTTGTTGATATTGCTGCCAATGCTGTTGCCATTGCCGTTGATATTGCCGTTGCCATTGCCATTGCCATTGCCGCTGGCATGCCCATTGAGCAGCGCTCCACCAACACCAACAGCATGATGATGCTCCACAGCGGCCAGGCCATTCTGCTGCTGCTGCTGCTGTTGCTGCTGCTCCCCATTCAGCTGCATGCCACGCATATAGGCATGCGGATGCGCATGATAGCCACCGCCCACAGTGGTGCCATTCTCCACCTGGCCGCCATAGTGGTTGTGCTTGCCATTAAGCAGTTGCTGCTGCTGCTGTTGCTGCTGCTGCTGCTGTTGCTGTTGCTGGTGGCCATTGATCAGCGCATAGTGCGGCTGATGGGCATGGAAATGTTGCTGCTGCTTGTGCAGCTGCTGACGATGCTGCAATGTTGCTGCGGCCGGCACCTGTTGCTGGCTCTGCGAGGCCAGCGAGGACAGCGACGAGCTGGACGCTGGCTGCGACGTGCCCGTCGAGCTGGCTGAGGAGCTCGTCGAGTGTGTGCCGCCCAGCGGAGGAGGTGGTGATATATTGCCCAACTGCTGCTGCTGCTGCTGCTGTTGCTGCTGTTGCTGCTGCATTGAGACGTTGCTCACGTGATTCTGATGCGACTCGGGCAGAAATTGCGGATAGACGTGGTGCGACCATTGCGGGAACAAGGGACGCGCGCTGGCGGCTTCTATAGAGTTGTCGTTGGGTTGGCAGGGTTGGGTTGGCAGGGTTGTCAAACACATATATATATACACATGTATATATACATAAGCACACACACATATATAGAGAGACAGAGCAAAATGGGTTGCGTTGGATTGTTGGTGGGAGCATGGGAATATTTGTAGTTTTTTTGTTTGTTTTTTTTTTTTTTTTTTTTGTGACGTGGCGAGCATTTTGTTTTACGTTTAATTTGGTATTAGATTACAAAAGTATTTTTATTTGGTTTTTGTTTTTTTGTTTTTTTTGGTAGTTTATTTTTGTACAATAAATCCGAAAAAGCAGCGTGAAATGAAATTATTAGAAAACGGAACAATGAAAATAACCACATAAAGAACTGAATAATATCTCCAACAATGGGCTTGATGAGTGTACTTAAGGCTAATAATGATTAAGTGGTACGTCTTGAGAGTGGGACGGCTGCTGGGGGTCAAGTTGGTGTTCGGGGGGGGCGGGTGTGCGCCATTTGTAAGATATATATTTACACACACACACACTTGCAGGCACACACTCACACACACGCACGCACGCACACGCTTATAGACTGCTTGCATTGGAATGATACTAACATGTGGTGGTGGTGGTGGTGGTGGTGTTAGTGGTGGCGGTGCTGGTGGTAGTGTGGTGGTGTTTGCCGTTAGTGGCGGTGGCTTGTGGTGCTCTTTAAAGATTGCTAGTGGTCTGTGGCAGTGATATAACTACTACCATTAACAGAGGTAAAGACTCGACTCAACGAAATGGAAAAGCCAAAACTATAAACGAATAACGAATAACGAAATGGAACGCAGAAATGAAACAAAAACTCAGAAAATTTTATATGACAGAAGAGAGAGACAGTGAGAGAGATAGAGAGAGAGAGAGAGAGAGAGAGTCGGAGAGAGAAATATTTATATATAGAGCTAGGCTAGAGAGCGAGAGAGTTAGAGAGAAAAGAGAACCAATAAACGATTGTGTAGCTTTGGTGCAGCAAACGTAAAGCGAAACGAAAACGAAACGAAACGAACTGAAATGAAACGAAACGAAATAGAGACGCAGACAGAGACAGAGCCAAAGACAAAGACAAGCGACAAACGCAACTTAAGAAATGCAAATAAAACGCATGAGAAATGCAAAACGAATCGAACACAAAATTTGAAAACTCGAAAATCAAACTCGAAACTGAAACTGAAACTGAAACTGGAGAAACCCTCCCGAGGATAAGAATAGACGAGTATATCATATCATTGAGAGACTTAAGCGAATTGCAAGTCGTGGCAAATGCCGTTAGGTACGAGAGTGTTTTCGTATTATTCATGGGTCTACATCGAGAGCTCTTAACGTTTAACACTTACCGCTGCCCGCGCTGCGCTGCAGCACCGGGGATTGACGTTGAATCTGAGGCTCTGCGGGTGGTTCCAAAATGTCCCGATATTTGGATACCATCAGCACCGAAATGAAATAAACGATGGCCAGCGATAGGAATTGCGCTTGTTTCGTTTCCTCCTGTGGGCGAGAGGTATGAAAGAAAGAGAGAGAGAGAGAGAGAGAACGGATTATGTATGAGGTAGAGGCTATACAAATGGAAATGAGACAAAACGGAATGTGAAATGAAACATTCGGTAACGTAAATTACAGCCGAGTGAAGGGGGTGACGTGCAGTGGAACGATTGGAATTGGCACTTACCACATCGCGATAGATGACGGCCCTTAGGCGATTGACGTCCATGTCCTGGAGCAACTTCTCAGGATCCTTGACGGGGGATAATTGACCGGTGATTGACTCCACAATGTTCTGCAAGTATTGCAAAAGGAAAACACGGAAAAGAGTGTTGTAAAGTGCTGTAGTGCTCCAGGTGAGACGGTGCTCAGCTTACCTTGGGCGATGCCTGCGCGCCGCGTATGAGCGCCTGCAGATGCGCTGCGCCGGGCACATCGCGCGCCAGGGCGCCCACGTTGTAGCGCGTGCGCTCCTTGCACTCGAGGCAGTTGCGCACGGCGCAGGTGCAGACGAGGCGCAGGCACTGGCGCAGGATGCCGCCGCTGGACATGTTCTTCTCGGCCTCCAGCTCGCCGAAGTTCAGCGAGGTGGCAAAGATGAGGACGTCGGCCATGTTGACCAGGCGCTGCAGGAAGGACACGGCCACCTCCAGTGGCATGCCCTGTGTGGGCTCCAGCACATCCAGCTCGGACTGAAAGAGTGCCAGGGTTTAGCTGGAAGATGTGTGGGGTAGGGGACTGCGGCACTTACATTGGGCGATGTGGCGCTGGCGAGCAGCGGCAGGAGTCCGCCGCAGGCAATGATCAGATTATCAGCCAGCTGGGAGATCAGATGCACCGTGTTGACCACAAAGATGGCGTTCTCGCTCGAGTTGACAAAGTCGAGGACGCTCTTGGTGGAGTGACTGCGCCACACCTGGATGTCGGTCTCCAGGGAGAAGAGCACATCGCTCAGCAGGCGCTGGTGTATGTAGGACCATTTGAACTCCGGTATGCGGAACGGCGGACGGGTCGGTCCCGGACTGAACATGGGCCGAGTCGAGCCGGACTTGGACCGTTGCTGTTTGCCCCCCTCCACGCCGGCTGTGCCGCCTGCAGCTGCAACATGCGAAATACATTCGATCTGCTCTCCCCGGAGCATCGAGCTACCCCTCAACTTACCATAATGATTGCCCTCCATCTGAGCGGCGCCTTCTGCACTGACAGCGGACGGGGCTGCTGCCGGCTGCGACTGCGACTGCTGTACGGCGTAGTCGTCGTCGTCGGCGTTGGTTGTGTCCTGGGCATCGTCCTCGATATCGGCCTCGGCATCCGCATCGGCATCGGCATCCGCATCGACGTCGGCATCCGCATCGGCTTCGGCTCCGGGCAGCTCGTCGAGGCCCTTGTGTGTGTCCGCCTCGATCTTTGGCGTTGTTTGCGTCGTGGAGTCCACCTCGTTGGGCTTCGAGCGCAACGCAATCGGTGCCGACTCCTCGGACTTGGCCAGCGGCTCGATGTGCGCCGGCTGCTCTTCGGGCGTTGGTGAGGTCTGTGTGGTCTGCTCGGAGGCCACGGCCTTGACGGTCTCATCCACTAGCGTGTCCAGCACTGCATTGACAATGGCCGGCACTTGATCCTCCACGGATTCCTGGGGCTGAGCTTGTGCCTCGGCCAGATCGAGCGCCGCCTCGACCACCTCATGAACTATTTCCTCAGCGGCGGCGGCGGCTAAGCTTGCCTGCTCCTCTTCCACATCCTTCCCTGTCTCTGTTGCTGTCGCTGTCTCTGTCTCTGTCGCTGTCTCTGTCTCTTTCTCTGTCGCGGGCTCGGGCTTGGGCTCGGCTTCTGCGGCTGTCTGCTTTGTGGTTTCCTTCTGCACCTCATTGTTGTTGGTTTCAGTTTCAGTTACGGTCTCGCTCTCGCTCTCGGTCTGGGTCTGGGTCTGGGTTTTGGTTTCGCTTTCGATATCGGGCGCTGTCGCGGTTTCAGCTGTGGCTGCGGCTGCGGCTGCGTCTGCGGCTTTCGTTTCCGCCTCGGCTGCATCGATTACCTTGTCGATGAGCTGCTCCACAATGTCGCGCACCGCTGTGGCCACCACATCCTCCGTCGTGTCAGCCAGCTCGGGCTCTGCGGTCGCCAGACCCGCCTTTGCCGTCGACTCCGTTAGCTCCTCGCTGCTCAGCATTGAGCTCAGCTCCTGCTCGACACTGGCTGCTGGCATTTGGCTGGAGCTGGACCTAGACCTGGCGCTGGCACTGGAGCTGGAGCTGGGACTGGAGCTGTTGCTGAGCTCCAGTTTCTCGTTGTTGTTCAGCTTGTTGGCCGCATCTTCAGTCTTTTGATTGGTGGTTGCTGCTGTGTTCGACGACTCCTGCTCCTGCTCCTGCTCCTGCTCGGAGCCCTCTGGGCCGTCTCTCTTCTCCAGCTGCGCTGTTGTGGCTGTTGTTGACTCGTCGCTGTTTATTTCATTAGCATTCACCTCGGCTTCTGTCGCTTTGGTCTCCGTCTCCTTCTCCTTCTGCTGCTGCTGCAGCTCCTCTGGCTCGCTGGTGCTGTTATTGTTGTTGTTGTTGTTGTTGTTCAGCAGATTCTTGCTGTTGAGCAGACTCACATTGTCCTGTGCCGGCGTCTTCTTCTCGCTCTTGAGCACACCCTGCACCACCTCGTTGACAGCCAGCTCGATCTCCTCGTCCTTCAGCACCGACGAGGACTCCTGCAGCACATCGTCCACGACCATTTTGCAGTCATTCAGTGCTGCCTCCGACACCTGCAGCACCTGGGCCACATGCCGCTCCACATCGAGCGCATCCTTGGCCGTCGCCAGCTCCAGCTCCTCCAGGTCTTCTTCTATCTGCAGCATCTTCTTAAGCGCCGCCTGGCCACCGACAGCTGCCTGCTGCCCGGCCTCCTGCGACTTCTCCTCCGAGGGACTGGGACTCAGGCTGCCGTTGCACGTGGCCGCCGCCGGAGCGCTTTGCAGCGCCTCATCCGTTTTGATTTGCTCATTGTACACATCCGAAATGTTGGCAATCACCGATTTGTTGACCGGCTCCTGCTGCTCAGTCGCCTCCACGGAAGCCGCCTCGGCTGGCTGCCCGTTGGCTGCGCAGGCGCAGGAGTCGGCAGGCGTTGCGGCAGCTTCTTCGCTCAGCTGCAGCTCCTGTGCGTCGACCTCGACGCTCTCTAGCTCCAGCTCCTCGGCCTCCTCCTCGACGGGTGGCACATCCTCCAGCGAGGCCACAGACACGGCGCTCTTTATAGCCGGCAGCTGCTGTTGCTGCAACTGCTGCTGCTGCTGCTGCTGCTGCTGTTGCTGTTGCTGCTGTTGCTGAGGTGCAACTGGGCCGTTCTGCTGCTGCTGCAGCTCCTCGCGCTCCCAGCCGCTGATGGTGCTGATGGGGCGGGCTTGACGCAGGGCGGGATCGGTGATGTTGTCGGTGCGCTGTCGCTCGTAGTGCTCGTACATCTGGGCGAACTGCAGCTTGAACTCCTCATAGGAGACCTTCGAGTGGACGATGGCCAGGGTGTCCACCCAGACGCGCCAGCCGCCGTACTCATGCTTGATGGCATGGTGCAGCAGCATGCGGAACAGCGAGTAGACCATGTCGCTGATCTTCTGCTCCTCGGTGTTCTTCGGGTGGATGTAGGCCATGGCAATGAGCCACTCCTGCCAGACGGACATTTGGAGGACGGTGCGCCGATTCTCCCGATTGCTATTGCACAGCAGCGTCATGTCCTGCAGAAAGAGCTTCTTCACCTCGATCAGGGACTCGGTCTGCTTCGACTGGCGAATCAGCGTGGCGACCACCTTCAGTATCACTGCGCGGCAATTAGTTGCGGTTTGGGGTTTGTGGGGAATGAGTGAGGTTAGGTCATTGTCTCTTTACGAGCTGAAATAGAGGCTTAGGCTAGCGAATAACTCACTTGGATTCTCCAGACGGTAATGGCCCTCTGGCTCCGGATGGCGCGTGTACAATATCTGCTGTGATATGTGCTCGGTCATAATTTCGAAGAGCACATTGTATGTGGGCAGCGACAACGACTCCTCGTACAGCAGCAGACGCTCCGCTAATAGCGTGTACAAATTGTGCGGCGACATGACATCGTACTTACGTCTACACCAGCGCGGGTTGAACACGATTTTAGAAGGGGAATAGAAAGCAGACACATGCAAAAATTTATGAGCATGTGCATTACACGGCAGTTTGTCAAAGCGGAGAGGAACGGAATGAGAAGCAGAACGAGAACAGGCACGAGAGCGAAGCCCACGCGCCTCTACGCGCCTCTACTCGCCTCTACGCGCCTCTACTCGCCCGAAGTCCCATTACTCAGGGCTAGGCTCAGCTTCCATTTCCATTCCCATTCCCATTGCCATTCCCATTGCCATTCCCATTGCCATTCCCATTTCCATTACCCGTTAACCACAATTACCCCAGCCATTGTGCTACTTACTTGTGTGTGCTGCGCGAGAGGAAGAAGCCGAGCAGCTTCAGCGCCTGGAGGCGTATCAATTGACTTTCGGCCGCCAACAACTTGAAGATGCTGCGCACGCCGTGCTTTACATCGAATGCAGGTACCATTGAGCTGGGGTGCTCCGACATCAACGAGATGAGCATCTGCAGTACATCGTGCAGATTCTCGTCCTGCGAAAGGGCAGAGGTAAGAACAAAGAAGGGAGTTAGCAACCCGTTGAGGTTCTTTGGCTAACAGGGGCCTCTAGCTGGAGCCCCAGCTAGACCCAGGCAGTTGTCCCCACTGTAAAAGACTTCCCCAACGTCTTCACATCTTTGACTTGGATGCACTCACCTCATGCATGGTGGTCAGATAGTTGAGTATGCTTTGCAATTCATCCTCCTTGACGCCATTGCCGATCATAATGAGCTGCTTGAGGAACAGCAGGATGTAGGCGCGTATGGCCAGGATGTCCTTCTGAGCCGGTCGCGGGCCATCTGCAATGGTTGAAATGATTTCCTCCATCAAAATCCCAATTTCCCCCAATCGCCGCTCCATCGTGAGACTCACCCAAACCCTTTGGTATGATGCCGCTCTTGGCACGCGGATTGACAACCCAATAGTAATACTTGAGTGTGTGAACTGTCTGGAGAACGGTGCTGACGCGCCGTACATTGCTGTAGATCTGAGTGTCGCTGAGGAACTCGGTGGCCAGGTACGAGTAGAGGCGTGCCTGTACATTGGCCGGCGTGTAGATCCACAGGGCTGGATTGAAGAGCACGTGGTCGAGCAGCTGCCACGTGAGAAACGAGAAACAGAACAACTGCGGCAAATTAGTCAAGTAACTTATGCTGTCCTCAGTTACGGTAGACTCAACGAAATTGCAAGAGATTGAAGATGTGGTGTGAGTGTGTGAGGGTGTGTGAGAGAGTGTACAATCGATAGTAAGTTAGTTGCGTTGATTAAATAGTTGGATTAGTTGAATAAAAAGAGAGATAGATATATTGATAGAGAGTGAGATAGAAAGAGGTAGAGTAGCACAAGAGCAAATGAGGTTTTTATTTTTATTTTTTTTTTTTATTTTTTTATACATACGTTTACATGAGTTTCATGTTGATTGTTGTTGTTGTCGATTGATTTGGATAGGGTTGTTGTATGTATATTTAAATACATATTTTTTTTTTTTTTTTTTTTACATATATATGTTTGGAGGTTTGGTAGTAGTAGTAGTAGTAGGATTCGATATATAGATACATATATATATTGAATAACGTTTACACATGCAGCAAACAGCAATCAAATTTGTCATAAAACATAAAACGAGAAATGAACAAACAAAGTAAGGAACAGTTAATATTTTGAATGGCATTCCAAAAGAACAAGAACGAGAACGAGAACTAAACTAAGCTTAGATCTAATTACGCTAGAGATTCAAAGTATTTATTTATATATTAATGATCTTATGCTTATGGTACTTTGGCTAGGCTAAATATAATATTTAATCAATATTTGACTATAAATGTTTATTTGATTAACTAGAAATACATAAAATTAGATACGATGTAAAGTGTATGTCAATGAGCGGAGTTTTGGGCTGAGAGAATCGCTCTCTTCTTCTTCTGAGCTCTGTAAAAACAATGATGAAAGCAATGCTGATTTATGCCAGAAAACGAAATCCTTCAATTCGCTGCGCTTCAAAGTCACGTAAACTTCGACTGACCTGAACTATCAGCTTATAATGCAATTTATATATGTACTCAGCCATTTTCATATGATTTCGATTAAACATGTGCTTGGGCTAGCCAAGAGATAGTTAAATTATAAATTTCTATAGCGCCTAATTGAATTTATTTAAATCGTTTCAAATTGAAAAAGTTGCAATTGCAATGAATTGCAATTGTTTTAATATTCGACATCTGCGCCAACTTTTGGGAAACATTGGTCGAAATTTTAATTGTCAAAAATACAGACAAACACACAAATGTACATACATAAATAAATATACATATATATGTATATACATATGTGTACATAGATGTATAAACGGGTGTGTGTAGATGCATGGGATATGTTCACACATGACTTGGCTTATGAGGGCCAGCAGCACTTCAATTCAATTCGGACCACTCTCCATGAAGTGTTCAAACTTTTTGGYGTGGCTCCGCTGCTCCCGTCGCCTCGCCTCGCCTCGCCTTGTGTCGCGTCGCGTCGCTGGCTTCGCCCGTTGCCAATGCCAATGGCTGCACAGCAAGCATAACAATGCAACACCCAGTGTGGCTCCGCTCACGTAGCTCACGCCCGGCGCTGGCCCGCCCCCAAAAGGAGGCAGCCGACTACCGACAGAAGTTTCCCAATTAAAAACTGTGCACGAGTGTGAAATAATAAGGAAGCTGAGCACGAGGGCGAGAGCTGAGCCGAGAGCTGGCAAAAGCCCCAAAACAACAGATTCAGCAATATGCAAAAAACATTCCGTGGCAAAGAGAGCGAGAAGTGGAAATGCCGAAAAAGGAAACTTTAGTTGCGCCTGGCGAATTTATGCAGATTTTAACCGAATATATTGTATATACACAAATGCAAACACACACACATTTATATATGTATATATATATGTATATATGTATGCTGATGAGTTGCGTTGCGCGTTGCACAAATGAGCTTAAGTTGAACAAAGGTGTTAAGTCAACCGCCAATTAAACAAATTATAAAACAACCAACGTGAGAAAACATGAATGGAACATGAAATTGAATACGAATGCGGCGAACACATAAAACGCATTTGCGAGAGTTAAGACTAATGGGTAAACAATGTGGAATGAAAAACATAGCAACTGCTCTGGCAGCAGTAACTTTAAGCGWGTGCTGAGCGACTGTGGAACGATATGGAATGAAACATCAATATTGAGTCTGTAAACTAGATTATGAATATAAAATATTAGAGCTATACGAATGATGTATGTCAATGTAATATGGAACGATGTGGAATGAAACATCCAGAATGAGTCTGTCAACTATATGAATCAAAAGTATTAAAAGTATAAGACAATCAATCAATGAGTCTAAATGATACTACAATAAAATGGAACGATATGGAATGGAACATTAAGAATGAGTAAGTCCAACTAAATTATAAATACCAACTATGTCACCTGTAAGAAATATATATATCCAACAATGATATCTATTGATAAGATTACATTGAAGTGGAACAATGTGAAATGAAACAGCATGTCTAAAGCAACTACATATATACTTTGATATACGCCAAATGGCATTTACCTAAAATGCTCGAAGAGCTACCGACAATAATTATTTACATATATGTATATCTTACAATAAAGTGGAACATTTTGAAATGAAACATCCATTGAGTCAACTGTACAAGGTTTGAAATTGAACAATTTAGTATAAAAGAACGCCGGGAAACATAAACGAAACAAACGCACACATACACACACATACACGCGCGCATACAGTTACGGAACAAAACGGAATGAAACGGAACGTAACGAAAAGGAACATTTATATAGTGTATACAATACGATAGTTCAGTAAAAGAAATTTGAGAATTGAGCTTCACCTGGTAGAACTGTTGTAGAGATTTGATATTGGTTTAAAGTTCAGTTGTTGTTGTTATTATTGTTATAGTTGTAGTTGTAGTAGTAGTAGTAGTAGTAGTTGTTGTTGTTGTTGTTTATTTGTGTGTTGATTGATAAGAAGCGTTTCAGATGCAACAATTTTGATCGATTGATTGATTGATTCGGATTGTCGCGAGGAACAGCATTAAAACAATACGAAGCATAAGTAAAATGAGCGAGTTTATTCGATGAGCGGGGGGAGAGAGCGGGCGCGGGTTGTGTACGTGAGTAAAAAATTCGTGTGCGGGAGAAAGAAACAGATAAATAGATAGAAAAGGGAGAGAGAGAGAGTGTGTGATAAAAATATAGAACAGGAACGTATAACAAGTTAGAGTGGGAGAGAAATAGAGAGAGAGAGAGATATATAAATATTGTGAGAGAGCAGACAAAGTAGAAGAATTTAGTTTTAGTCGTAAATACATTTATGTCAAAAGCTTCTTCAATTTCTGTATTCTTTTTGTACTTTTGAGCTCTATATAGTTGGGCGAATCAGCTGGGTATAAAGCACATTTAAATTTCGATTAATCTTGGCTGGACTATCAAAAAGCATTAGCTCTTCGATTAACAGGTGCAGACATGACAAACATTTGGTGCATAAGCAGCGCAACAAAAGCGAACAAAATGTCTAATTGCTGGCCAATTGAAAGCAAAAGGTAAGCGAATTAGGCGCGTGTACAGTGCTATACAAAAAGCATGCAACAGTGAAACAAAATAAAGAAGGAAAAATGTGTATAGAACAGCTTCGACTAAGCCGAAGTCGTTGGGGTAGGAGATTGGATTGGTAGCTGTGGCTCATATATTCCTCTTAAAGTTCATTTAAAGCTATCCTTAACGAATTCTCTATCATTTATGCCTTAAAGCTATCCCTAACAATTTGACTATCCTTTACCATCTACGCTTTAAATTATTGAGATATATTTTTTGTTCTTTGTTCTGGGTCTGCCGTCTCTTACGGAGTTAAAGCGTTATTCCTAATCCTAGTTCAGACCATCTCACTTATCATTTTAGACATAAGCCAACTTTAATTGCTCATTTTTGTTTTCCTTTCAGCATTTGGAGTCTAAACTTGAGGCCTATACGAATATACGAATCACTATAAGATTAGCTGAGTTTCGGTATTTCATTAAAGTATTTAGCGTATTTTCGTTAGTTTTCTCTCGCATCTAAACGAAATCCTATTTCCGATTCACCATCATGTGAATTACGAGCTTAGCCAAGAAACGGACTAGCGAAAAGGGAAACACATTCGAGTAGTTTTCAAGGCAGTTGCTATGCCATTTCTGGGTTTATGTTGTGCTAGGCAAATAAAGAGGCGAAGCGTTAATAAAAAAGGATAAGCACGAGCTGGATACATGTTGGATATATAAGTAAATGTACATATATACACACACACACATATACATATACATATGTAGCGGATATATGGCTGGGGATTAGTGCTAGAAGCGCGGGAGCTGCGGGAGTGTGACCAAAGCAGCTACAAGTAACGAATAGCGGGTAGCGGGTAGCGGGTGGCGGGTAGAGGTTAGAGGGTGGCGGATAATGGGTAGCGGGTAACGAAAACAAGAACTTAATGCTGCAAAATTGTGTTGTATTTGATATGCTACGTTTTGTGTTTACTTTTTTGAAAGGATTACGCAGGCCCGTGTTCAACTGTGCGCCGGAGCAGCCAGAGCAGCCAGAGCAGCCGGAGCAGCCGTAACAGCAGAAGCAGCAGGCGCCAACATCAACACCAAAATAAAGAACACAAGAGCAACAGAAAGGCAAGACACGCATACACACACACGCAGTGCGATAGGCCAGACAAAGTAAAAGAAAACAGAGAGAGAAAGAGAGAGAGAGATAAATAGAGAGAAAGAGAGAGAGAGAGAGAGAGAGAGAGAGAGAGATAGTGAGACAGAGTGAATGAGAGAGCAGATGAGTCGCGAGTGGGTTTCGCATATCATTTGAAATTTGTTTGTCAAGGCGTTCAACATGCCACACAGACACACTCAAGAGCATTCGTTTCACTTCTTCTGCTTCTTCTCCATGAATGCGAAACATGAAAGTGGGACGTTGATAGCTTCATAATAATAATTGCAAATCTGATCGAGCTGTAACTGAAAACTTATCGAAACTGATCGAACGTAAAAAACTTACAGCGCGAGGCATTTGTCATGCAGTCGTCATAGCGCGTCAACTTAAATCGAACTTAGGAACAGACATATATACATATGTATATATACATATACATATAATACATATACATAAATACTAAACGATAGAGACATAGCTAAAACGTAAATACAGAATAGTAACAATTAATAAGCATGCTTGCCAAGTCACAGCGGCCCTCAAGGTTCAATCGCATGCTATCGATGAATATCGGGTATCGATTAATCATTGTTAAATGCCTATCGATGCTAAAGCGCGCATTTCATTTGCCGATAATGCATCGTACACTGAATGTATTTGTATGCATCATCGTGTTTGGTTTTACTTTCATTGTTAACATAGAGCGGCATATTTTGTATATCTAGTAGAGTCGTAGAGGCAAACGAATTCGTTTTGGGCCTTGCGCCCACTCACCTGCTTGAGCAGCAGATCGCTGTTGGCCGACAGGCACGTGACCAGGTACTTGGTCAGGTTGAGAAACGAGCCCAGTACCTCCAGTGTCAGATGTTCGCGCGACGATCGCTGCAGCATAAAGGATATCACGAGGAAGCCTCGATTCTGTATCATGTGCTGTTGCACAGTCTGCGATGTCTCCACCAGTTCGCAGATGAAGCCCAAAAGCTTTGAGCTGTGAAGCGAGAGAGTAAAATTAAATTAAAATTGATTGCATGATGGTTTGGAACGCGTGGGAATGGAACAGAAACGAGTGGAATTGAAACAGTAAGCATTACAGAGCGTATATTGCTAGTAGAACAAAAAAAAAAAAAAACATTACAAAGAAAATGTTAACTATACGTATATTTTAAAGGAACTAATGGAATTAGAACGCTAAGTATTCTTAACGTGTATTGATTTACGGGCAATGGTGCTAAGGACCATGAAACTTAAGTAAGAAATACATATTGCAGAAACAGAGTGGAACGAATGAGAATGAAACGCATTTCATATTGCAATTTAAAGTAATGACAAAATAAAATCAAATAGACTTGAATGGAAAGTATGAAACGAGTGAGAATGAGGTAATAAATCAATACGTGAAACGAATGAGACTAAAACGAAACAGAAGTTAGTAAACCGAATGAGAATGAAATATAGTTGTTATCAAAACCACTGCATTTACACTGAAATCATTTAAAGAGCAAGAACATAACCTACCAGAGCGTCGGATCTCGCTTGATATCGCTTATGCCCTCGTGCGCCATGTCCAGCTGAGAGAAGAGCGGAAACAGCACCTGAATGCCGCCAATCGAGTTGAGTGTGCAGTGGATGGAATGCGTGACGACCGCCTTGACGTCCTGTTTGAAATGAAACCAAAACGAAATGAAAATCAATGATATGATTCAAGAGATATTCTCAATGCTCGAGCTCTGCCACATCAGCGACTCTAGACGAGCCTCCAGATATTATAGATATTCCGCTGAAGTGGGTTTGGTCGTTCGATTTCCCACTGAAACGACTAATCTTATGGCGATTGCTTGGACGGAAATTGGATTGTCTATTGATAAACCATTTTTCAGCTGGCAATTTGCGTAAAGTTCGGGGCATAAATTTGTGTTTCTTTCAGTGTTTATCGATTAAATTGGTTTTTGTGCGCCCCAGCACCACTGTGCGACCTCTGAGGATTCTCCGGCTGCTGTGGCGGGGCATGGGCTCGCTATGGGCATGTCTTGGGGTCATTTCGATGGCATTTTCGTCGCGTTGTCGTTGTTGTGGTTGGTCTTTTATGATTTGTGTTGTTTGTACAAGAAATTACTACAAAATTTATTGAATAATTTTGTTGCCAGCTACAAGCACAACGGACTACAGTGGGGTGGCCGCAGCAGTGCCAGCCAGCTGTTAAGCATGATAAGGCTCGAACGGAACGGAGTGGAGCGGAGCGGAATGGAAACCTACAGAGGGAGGCGGACAAAGATTGTACCTAATAAGAAATGCCAAAGCATGCGCTTGAGTCGTAAAATGCTGCCTGAAATTTATGTGGTGCCTGCTCTAAGTGTATGTAAGAGTGTGTTCCGTGTGTGTGTGTGTGTGTGTGTTAGTCTTTGGCCTTGGTATGCAGCAGTGTGTCTTCGAGCTTTGGAATGGAATGAACTAAGGCGAAGTGAACTAGCTACGGCTATGTACATTTACGTATACGAAATAAGTTGGGGGACTTACTCGTATATTCCTGCCGTTTACACAGGCCCAGCTCAAGGGGATTGTGTGGCATGGCCAGAGCATATATAGAGAGTGTGACTCTCTCTGTGTCTGTGTGTGTGTGTGTGTGTGTGTGAGTGTTTACTTACCTGCAGCATCAGCGCGTGCGGTGTGTGTACAAAATATGAAACATTTCCTTTGGGGGAAGACTGCAAACAAAGTTGACCATCGGTTGCCACCGGATTGTACATGAAGACAATGGCATTCGATAGTTTGCCATCGTACAGCACCTGCAGTGGGAAAGAGATAGACAGAGAGAGAGAGAGAGAGAGAGAGAGAGAGAGTAGATTGTTGGCATTAGTTAGGCACTGCTTTCAACAAGTCATTCGTAGAGCTCGGCTCCTTCGAGGCTCTGAGCCCGGCAAATTATTTCCGGTCATGCTGACAATTTACTTTTGCTTTTGGCCTTTGCTTGAAGCGAGGAGCGAGCAGCACAAATAGTTCTATATATCTATATATATATATACATATATATATAGTAGGTATATATACAAGTAATA